CTTATTTAGTATTTTAATTGTTTCTCTTCAAAATAGAAACCTTCCCCCTCAACCTTAAGAGTACTGCATAATTAATTAATAATTAATTTTAAAAGAACCAGAATATACTGAAAAGTCTAAAGAAAATGAAATATCCATAATCCCATCACTTAGAGGTAAGCATTATGTACCCTGATGCATCTTTATACGTTTATATGTGATATATAAATATATAATCTTTGAAGAAAAAAAAGTCACATAATGAATACTGTTTAATATAAACGTACTGATTTCTTCATTAAAAATATACATAGGTGAATTGGAAGAACTATTACTTTAACTCTGGTTATGTTTCATAGTAATACCACCAGGTAGCCACTAGTTCATTATGTTTCTAAAATGGATGATAGTTTAAAGATTTCAAAAATCTATCATATTGATTATAAAATAAACAAAGCCTTTCTTTCTCTCTTTCTCTACATATACACACACATACCCAGTTTTTAGATAGTATCAGAATAGTGCCTGAATTATTGTTACACTTCAAAATTTCAAAATATACACAACTGATAAACATGATATATATATAATTTTAACTCAACAATAACAAAACAGAGAATATTTTACAGAATATTTAAATGAAAAATACTTATAGTAAAATGTTTATAAATTCATTGCTATCACATATGCATATTAAGAAATGTCTTTTAATTTCCTATAGAAACTTACGTATTATAGTTATTGTTATTTTGCCTTGAATTCAGTATCTTTCAAACCATAGGGAATACTGTCTTTAGCCTAAATTTGAATATTAATTTAGAATATAGAACTAGCAGAGAATCTTACAGAATTTGACACTCAAGGAATCCAAGTATTATTTGTTGAAGGATCTAAGTATTTTTGAAAGCAGACAAATATTTGATTAAAAAACTCAACAAGAACTAAGTCTTTCATGGTTTTTGATACAACTGTTCATATTCTTCATTTTTAAACAAGTGGGGACTATCTTTCTTGGATTTTCATTGCTTAGAACAAGGACTTAATACATAGACAACTTTTATAGACTGAATACCATCTGGGAATTTATTCAATATTTGAGATCCAAATTATCAAATGTCCTATAAATTATGTCATTTAAAAAATGAACATATAGCTATTAAAAAATGAACTGAAAATTGTTTAATCATTTTAGAGCAGTCAAAATACAATATAAGATCAGGATCTTGGTGTCTGAAAGCAATCATATTATCATCCACATTTTATAATCTTAATTTCATTTAGGCTTGATGGCTAATCAGAAAACAGAGTTTTAATCAAAGTTGTTTTCAAACATTGTCATAATGTCGCTTTGAAGAGTCATATCAATTGTACCAGCCATCTGTAGAAAAGAGGAAAATTTTAAACAAAAGTTACTTAATAAATTTATGCCTTAATTATATCTCTATAAAAACGATTATGCAATACTTAGAATGAGTTGTACAAAATGAACACAATTTACTTCACCTAAGTTCATAAATTTTTATTTATGTTCAAATACATTCTGAGTTTTCTGAAAATATTTAGTGTGGTAAATAAAAACTAAAGCCTACAAGAACACCAAGAACAAGTTTGACTTCTCTTCCAGGTAAGAAAGAAAACTCTTAATGTTGACTGAGTAGGTATTAAGGAGTACATGAATGAACATGAACATGAATGAACAGTACTCCACTCTTAGGTATGTACCCAAGAGAAATGAAAGCTTATGTCCACACACACAAACATACACAAAGGCTAGTAAATGGCAGAACAAGGATTTGAACCCAAGCAGTCTAGGAGCTCTGGAGTTGATGTTATGTTACATTATCATACTACGCTTGCTTCTTTTGACTATATTAATTTTTTATTTTGGGCTCTGATTTTAGGATCTGATCCTCACTAAAAAGATTCCTCCCTTATTGCTAAAAAACTACCCTGAATGGATTTGTTAACATATAAAAAACTGCTCTATTCAATCTTTCGTTTGCTTAAATTAGATTAAGTAAACTAAAGTTCACTTACTGCTTCTCTCCTCCTGCGTTCTTGCTCTCTCTCCCTTGCTAAATTACGGTCTTTGAGAAGCCAGAGGTTGCATTTATCTTGAGTTTCCAATGACTGCTGATGTTCTTTTTGCATTTCTCCGTGGCACTTGATTTGCATTTGACTTGAAAAAGATTCTAGAGTCAAGTCATTACCAAGGTCCCTTAAAGAAGAAAGCATAGCTCAAAGTAGGCTTCAAGTTCCTTCAAAGTTTTTATTACAAAGATGCATGACTAAATGACAAATGTAAGTCAATGTTATAGATATCTATTTTCACACATTATGACATTATTTCTGCTGTGTTAAGTTTTACATAGGGCAATCTGTAATAACAAACAAAAAAAAAAAGTTTGAAAAACTCTGACCAAGGTGCATCACTCTCTTCTTACATATAAAACAATTAAGATGTCATTGTTGTTATGTACTGTTGAATCATCTATGACTTATAGTGACCTTATGCACAACAGAACAAAACAGTGCCTGGTCCTGTGCCAGCTTCATGATCCCTACTACACCTGAACCCATCACTGCAGCCACTGTTGTCAATCCATCTTGTTGAGGGCCTTCCCCTCTTTTGTTGACCCTCCATTTTACCAAGCATGATATCTTTCTCCAGAGAATGGCCCCTTCTAACAACAGGACCAAAGTAGGTGAGACGAAGTCTGGCCATTCTCACTTCCAAGGAGCATTCTGGCTGCACTTCTTCCAGGACAGATTTGTTAGTTCTTTTAGTAGTCCACGATACTTTTAGCATTCTTCACCAGCACCACAACTCAAAAGCATCAATTCTTCTTCAGTCTTCCTTGTTCACTGTCCAGCTCTCACATGCGTATGAGGTGACTGAAAATACCATGACTTGAGTTAGGCGCATGTTAGTCTTCAAGGAGATTGCTTTCTCTTCAGCACTTGAAAGAGGTCTTTTGCAATAGAGTTGCTGCAGTGAATTGCTTGATGTGGCCCTTCTAGCCATTGTCCTCCATTCTGTGATGTTTTGTAAATCCCATTATCCATGCCTGTTTGGGGTGGTGTGGTAGTTAAGGTCAGGTATCAACTGGTAGTAGTCATTCCCTATAATGACTGGCAATCAACTCTGTGATGGGATTTAGGTTAATTCTGTTGGGGCAACACAGGTGGAATGTATCTTGAATCCTGCCTTGCTGGAGGGTATAATTCAAATCACCACCCTTAGCTTCCCTGAGGGTATACCTACGAATCT